GCACTTCTCAAGGCCAAACATGCTGTAACCATCCTGGAAGGATCAAGTGTACAGAGGGATACTTTTAACATCCTATGCTCCAAACCACCTCCCTCATATTTCAGGCCTAACAACAGTCAACATGGTTTCTTCAAGACAACTATGGAAAGTAAAGTGAAAGAAATGCAACAAAGACTCCACAACCACATTCAAAACATCTTATTTAGTTAATTAAGGCACTGGATCACTTACTTGTAAGTATCTGGTCTGTCAAAACAACTCTAGTGACTAAGGCCCCCATTATCACAGCAAATCACATTGCTGAATGATTTCAGGCTACTGAAGGGACTCCTTTCAACTCTCAGCTGCTGCTTAAGTAATCCTTGGGTGGCTGAAGCAGATGTGTGTGCCCACAGGTAGCCAGGGAAGCTGTCCTGTACAGGCTAGATGAGCTATGGGGCCACAATCAAAACAAGCAGGAGTGTGACACTCAAACTCAGCAAATGGGGACTAGAAACTGGGGCATGCCTAAAGGATGCACCTTCCCAGTCCAGAGTGTGTGTGTGTGTGAGTGAGAGCATGGCTGAGGAACCCAGATTTTCCACTGGCTGTGCAGCTTCAACTGATCCTAATTTTTACCTTTAAATCTTAATCCAAATTAGACTGAATTAGCAGATAGAAAAAGAACTCAAAAAAATCAGCCATAAAACAAATGCAAGGCACAAAGCCTATCAAGTAGAGCAGTAAAATTCCACAAAAATAATTTGTATTATTACTCTAGCCCAGAGAAGATAATTTCATCCAGGATGCTCTTCTTCTGTTTGCCTAAGCAGTAATTCAGCAGATGGTGTTCTAAACTATATTCTTCCACCGAGAAATGAGGTACAGAAGCTCCATTACCACCCAGATGATGGGAACAGCATAAGGAAATCAGAAACTAAACAAATAAATGAAAATCAAACAAACATTTCTTAAGTGGATAAGTAGGACATGCTGCTAGCAGGACAGAATAAAATAAGGAAATTAACTGGACTTAGCTAATTTTGGCTGCAAATTGTGAAGTGTTCGTAAGAGGGAGAAATAAGTAAACATTTTTAGATTGCTGCTTGGGACTAAAGTTTATAGATTTTTACCTCAGAATTCCAGTGAAGATAAAAACAGGGTACAGTTGGCTTAAGTAACATGGAATAAGTCTTAGTGATCTTGATGATAATGAAGATGGAATGAAGATTGTGCACAAATGAGTGGTGGTGGTGTCTGAAGTGCTTGTGTTTCACTGAACCATTCAGCTTTTAATTCTATTTTGTTAATGCCAGAAGATGACAAAAAGGCTAATGTTACACTATCTACATTCCAGTAATGTGTGTCTGAGTATGTAAATTATGATGGATTTTCTTTCATTTATTAGTAATTATTTCTAAATTGTAAGCTGTCAGCTATATATGCTTTGTTTTTTTGGACAACAGGACAGAATAAACACATACTGTTAAAAACAAAAGAGATGCACATCATCCTGGGAAGAAAATAAGGCATGTGAATTGTATTGTACTATGATTATTTTCTTCATGATGGGTGCTTTGGTGCATGGTAAATAATTTAGAAAAAAATCTAGGTGCAGTCTGCAACACAGGAATGTTGTAAATTGAAAATATTTATGGCTGCCCTTCTAATTCTAATACAGGTATTTAAACAAAAGGGCACTAAATAACATTATTAATGTTATGAAATAATTATTTACTTAAAGACACACAATTCTACATACACTATAAACAATAAGGCAAGCAGTATAATGTTATACTGTTAATGCTTGCTTTAAGCTTTCCTTAGCTATAATTTGACCTTTTATCTATTTTTGGGGGGTGTATTACTGATGAAAAATTATGCTGCTGCTATAGCAGAAAAAAAATTTGATTTACAGAACTATTTATTCTTACATACTTGTGCTGTTGAAACATAGATTTTATTTTAGTTAAAGTTACACCAGAATCAAAGCTGCATAGAGCATTTGGAAATGAAATGAGCAATCATAAGAACTACAGTACAATAGTTTTTTGAACTCTTTTGGTAGTAATAATTCATGTACTGTAGCAATAGGGTTTGTTATGCAGTACAAACTCTCTCTGTAGATCCTAAGCAAAGTTCAGGAACTGTCACAATGTTATTTAACATCTTCAGGGAAGTTCTCTATATTGGGACTTCACTGTCTCACGCAATTGCGTTAAAGTCTGCCAAGTTCATGGATTCCCTCTCTCCCAGCATATTTACAGGTGGACTTGAATTTTGCAAAGGTCTTGATGAATACCAAAGTGGTCAGTACCAGCACATTTTCAGATAAGGAGTCTAGGCAAGTTTTAGAAATGTCATGTAAATGATTACAGTTCATTGGAATTTTGCAAAATTAGAAGCTGAGGAATTGGTATTCACTTTTACCTTTCTTAGATGGGATGATCACATGTTCAAGACAGATGCCATGATGGGATAATGAGCATGCATCAATAATATTCCACATTCACTAAAACTTATAATGGCTGATGTGAGATAAAACAAGAGACCAAAAGGAAAGACTTTGTGTAATTATTGTAAGAATAGTGTAATAAAAAAACTTGCTCCTGGAAGTTTAAATTGTTTGAACAATGTGTAGCAAACATATTTGATTGTACAAAGCAAAACCACCACTAAGTTACCAAATTTACACAAAGTCAAATATCTGGAAGGGGATCTTTTAAAAAAAAACTTTATTTGAGAAAGGAAGAGACTTATATCAGAAGGCAAAAAAAGGGAACATACAAACAGAATATATTTACAACACAAAACAAGATCACCTCTAAGGGTGTAAATTATAATAAATACAGTAGATTTAAAATGTAAGAGACAATCAATTAGAAATGTGGTTGTTTAAACCCAGTTTTCCTTTTCACTGGTTCCAGGTAGATTCTCTTTTTTTAATTTTATCCAAATTTGAAAGATTCTGAAATTAAAGTACACTAATGTATTGGGGTTTCTCACCTAAATGACATTATAAAAATATCTTTTGTCTTCTGTTCATACACGTCTTTGGAGTGATATTGTACAAAACTCTTCTCAATTGCAAATTTCTCCCCAAATGTATTTTAAAAGATGCACTATCCCTTTTTGATGAAGCTGAAGTCAGATTTCAAAGAAAATTAAAAATATACAAAATGGAAAACACATATAATTTCATTTTTATAGCCTTCACTTTTTGAATGTAAATATTATTTTTTTCACCCAGGATGGAGAAAGATTTCTGTTCAAATATGAAGCACACGTAAAAATCACCTGTGTTTTTCTTAAATAAATCTTTTTCTACCTATTGAGGCCTTTTATGTTAACAGCAACTATTTAGTCATTTCTTTGGAGACCTTCTAGGAAAAAGGATAATGTATCTTTAGAAGTTGCAACATTTTAGAAGAGATTGAATAGTATTAGAACATAATGTAAACAACACATGCTAATAACATATTTTAGAACAATTTCTACATTTGGCAAAACAACTATCTCTTTTGAAACCGGATACTGCACCTTAAAATACCTCAGCTTTAGAAATATAAATATTTTTAATAGAAAAAAAAGCCTGACAAGAAGTCCAGGTCAGTTTGGGATTATCCATATTAAAGGGGATCTTAATACAATGAATCTTTAACTAGCTTAACAAAAGTAAACCTATAAAACAAGGTAAACATATCAAAAGGGAATATGAAGGAAATGTTTCACTGGAAAGCTTCCTTAACAATTTCCCTACTCGCTTTGTTATTTTCTTTGACAATAAATCAATTCATAGAGTGCCTTTAAAAACAGAGGGAGTGCTGCCCCGTCCCCCCTGCCCCGCATTCCTCAGCACATGAATCACTTGGGCTTCCTGTTTCCATAAGGCATTTCCTGCCCCCCCTCCCAAAATCACTTTTCTGCAGGAGAACAGCAGGGACCTGACAAAGTATGGGCTTAAATAAACAGGGCCTTGCACTGCACCCAGCCTTGCTCTGCCGGCTGTGAGGGATGGAGTGGGATGCAGCCCGCGGGCTGCGCACACCACTGCGCCTTGCAACTCCGCCTGAAGCTCCCAGACAAGCTGAACCTGCCTTTTGTCAAGGTGGCATTTGATGCACAGTTGTTATTTTAGGATTTGCCCATGAGACTCCACAATAAAGGTTATGAGATATTGTACAATTAGTCTTCATTTAAAAAAAAACAACCAAACAAACAAGTGATTGGATATCAGATGATGATGATAACATCTCTGTGTTTTTCGCGCAATGTCCTAATAACTGACTGGAACCTAATGCTGCATTCTGCATCTCACCAGTACTTGCATCTGCTGCATTTAAGGATGTCTCTGCGGACATTATCATCAAATAAGACAGAATGAAAAATTAACTAAGCAGTGCAAAAAAGAAAACAATGCAATTTTAAAACAGTGCCTTGCCTCGCCTCTTTATATCCACCTTGTACTTTTCTCTAAATTAAACTTTATACACCAGCCTGAGACCACCAAGATAGCAGTCAGTACCTGTCTACTGGGAAAAAGAATACCCTAACATAAACAGTGTTCAAGACTACAGTATGATACAATATATACAGATAGCTGAAAGCAGAAGTCAGAGGATTCAAAATCAGAAGAACGTTTCATCAATCAGGTCTGGAAACTAATTCCATCAATTGCTGATTTCAACAGACTAGGTGATACGAGGTCTCTTTCACTAGGACTAAGCGATGTAAGGTAATTCTGGGCTAATACAACATCTATCAGCTATTACTCAAAGATTTAAGTAGAATAATTGTTTGCAACAGATATTTTCTCAATTAGTGGCCATAAGGATGAGCTTCACTATGTTTTCAAGTGTACATACAACACTTCTGAATTTGTTAAATTCTTTGAACAGTAAATCAGGATTTGCTAGCTCAGTGAATCAAAACACAATTGCTTATCAGAGCCTAGAAAACGCATGTGATGTTCAGATAATAACCTTAATTACAAATCCTGGAGCTAAATCTTTGCCTATTACCTGTTGCATAAAAGCAGCTTGCTCCCCAGATTCCATTTGCTGGGTTTGAACATCCTCATCACTGTCCAGTGGCTCCTCTTTGACTTTCACAGCCCCCACCTGCTGTCCTATTCTGTCATCCACACCAGCACCGCTGCTCTCAGCCCTAACGCTGGCACCGTCGGCGGGAGCTCGCTCTTCCTGCATCGAGTGATCTCCATGAAGCTCTTCTTCAGCTTCCTCCAGGTGACTGCCAGGCTGCTTGAGCTGCTCAATGGACTTAGAGAGCATCTGGAAAGAGAAGAGGGGAACAAGTACTGACTCCTTTCACTGATGCCAAAACACCAAGTACTAGATCTGCATGGATGAAATTAAAGTGTCCACAGCTAACCCATGTAGCCATGGTACAAGTAAATACTGTTTTGTAACATCTAAGTCAAATATCCTGAGAGGGTAAAACACCTTTTACCTTTACTCTTAAATAATTTCCTCTTCCTATCTGTCCCCCCAGCCATCAACCATGTCTTTCAAAATGAGTTTTAGATAGTGTTATATACTCAATTACTGAATACATGAATGCTTTCATGATGTCTGTTTTTGCCACAAACCGTGGACCATCCAGTTCCATTCAGCTTGCTGATGCATACAGAAAAATGCCAGGTTGTCATGTAAATGGTCATCAGGAAGCTACAGCAGGATTTAGGAAATCCCATGAAGTCAACAAGGAGAGCTGAAAGATCAATTTGTAAGTTCCAGTTGATGCTCTGATGCATATACCTCACATCATTGGAGAAAAAAATCCCTCAGAAGAAGCCTGTCTGGCTATTGTCACAGCAAACCTTCATTTTTGAGGTGCAATGGGAGTTTAATGGCTTACTAAAAAGAAACAAGTAAAAAATTCCTCTTTGTTACTGTAGTAACTGGCAAATCACAACGTGAGTATGCTGCAGGCTGCAGGTGGCATGCCCTAAGCTGAGCAATCCTTACTACTTCAACAAATGTGGAGAGTCTCCTTTCATCACACAGCACCTGAAAGATTTCTCAGATCAAACCTATAAATTTTTTCCAGTTGTTTCTCTGGGAATGACACAGACCAAGAAGGTACTAAAGCTAACTACACATAATCAGCTCAGGTACACTCCTTTCACTTATTATTATCATTATCATTATTATTATTGTTACTGTAAATTAGTTAAGCATTTGTGGGAAGCCTTTCCCATTCCTCAAGCAGGAAGAGAAAGGCAGGTAAAGCTGCATGGCTGGCTGCAAGTGAGCAAATACAAGCTGAAACATCTGTGTGACAGATAATCATATAAACTACAAGAATCACTGAGGCTGATCCATCTGTAAACCATTCCCTGTGCCAGTTCCTTGACACCAGGTGGGTTTTTCTGCAGAGGAAGCCAAGAGAAAATGAGTGCATGCCCACAGCAAAGTTAAGACACATATTTAGCTCATTACTGCTCTCCTTTCTTTCATGCTTTTTCACTTTTATGTCAGGCTCTTTCTTCTTTACACTGCTGTATGGGTACAGATCTGCTGCTGGGCTTTCTGAGGCAACACATGATGGATTGCAGTATAGAATCTATACATGGATCACCTTCAGACACTTCTTGCATACAATCAGTGAAGGGAACGAGCACACGTAAGGGGGCTGCAGAGACTCAGAGTGGAATTTGAGCACATTTCAATTTGCAGTGTTCCTGTTTTGGAGCCTCCTCCCATGCTGTGGAGCTCAGCAGGTGATTTGCTCCAGATTTCAGGAACAGAAGGAGATAAGCAAATTAAATTTTCTAAAACTCTGTGAAATGAAAGTCTTTATATATTTACTCAACAAAGTTTAAAAAGTGCATTTATATTACCATCTTTACTACAAAATTTTATTAAAACATCCTTTCCACTGTGATTTTAACTAGGCCTCAGGCAAAGGGCTATGAGGCACTACAGTCATGCCTTCTCATATGATGCAGCATGATCAAATTGCATGGATGGAATGGGGGGGACATGACCCAAACCCTGAAAATCTCTTGTACTGCTCAGACTGCTTAGCCACAGCTGATTGCTTTCTCAGTATCACCACAACACTTCCATATTTGTTGAAGTTTTTTTTTAAAAGACAGCTTGGCCCCATCCTAGTCCTGTAATTATACTAGTAGCATTACTGGACAGTTCTCCCAGGTCAGAAACATCTAATTTTATATTTTGTCTCCTAGTGGTAGTACTGCATCTGGAGACATGTGAAGATGGCAGTTTAGAGTCAGTATTTCTATCTTCTCTATCTAAAGATGGGTTACACAGCAGAAGTTTTTCTTAATGAAACACTGCTCATGTCCTTTCACTGCACAGCTGAATACTTCAGCTCACATGTTTAAACCTTTCACTTTAAACCCCCACTTGCCATTTTTTTCTGACTTTATCTGTAGCTATATGGAGGATCTTCTCTTAATTATAATACATATTTTCTTTTGTTTTGTAAAAGTGATTGCTTAATCTGAGTTTCAGTGGGATTATATTTAAAAACAACAACAAAACCATAGTTTATTTCCCTAATAAATTAAAGGTTGCACATATTGGTTATATTTTGCCAGTATACTTTACTAATATCACCTATTCCAATTTAAGTGGTCACTAAAAAAATGTCTTCCTGCTAATGTAACCTATATATTTTTTTGATTTATCTACAGGAAATTAAGCTATAAGGGATATGCATGAGTCAAAGTAAATACTGTCAGTGGGAGAGGAAGTATTTACAGACATCAAATCCACTGTATAACTGCAAGACTCCAATCAAAGAAAAAGACATCAAACATATCCTAACCTGCTTGCCTGTACAGAAAAATGGAAGACTAAATAATCTGGGCACTGCAATAGACAATTTTATAGATCCTTCAGCTGCAGCCCTTGTTGTTTTCTTCTTTGAAATTATATGCTTGTGAACACAGTGTCTCAAATAAAATGTCTTTACAAAAAGACAAAATCACAAAGTCCTGCAACAGCCAACCAACACATTGCCATCCTTAATTAATTGTTCATTTTAAATATATGGCAGTCATTTCTAGGAACTCATGTATATTCTTAGAGAACACTTTTTCCCCTTCTCCCCTATGGCAGGTTACCAGCTATGTGTGTTGTATGTACATTGTTACCTGCACTGAAAACAACTTGGCACCTGCTTCCTGTTGTCTCTGTTACTCATGTAGTACCTATATTTCTAAGGGATATATTTGTCTTTCAAAATCATTTTTCTGCATTATGGCTTAAACATTAGTTCCTTTAGTTTTGCCCAAAAAATCCCCTGCCATTAGCAATATTTGAAAGGGTATCTCTCACCTACAGAAGATGTAAATCAGATTTGTAAGCTGCAAAGCCAAAATCTCAGTGCAGTATGTTTAATGAAGCTAGGTTGATTTATTACTGCTGAATCTGGTCTTCCACATTCCATTAAATATTCCATTAAATATTCCATTAAATCATTCACAGAAGGGAATGATTAATCTGGGGTTAACTGTATCTTTCCAATATTCCTGCTTGCAATAAATAATACTTCTATTTTCCAATCAACATAAATTTCTGTATTATTTTTAATTTTTTAATAAGAGATATTAACTGAGAACACCATCCAAGTACTAATGAATATTCACTTCCTGTATATTTTTTTTACCTCACAGGCTTTCCTGGTCACCAATTCCCTATACAGAGAAGCTTTAAACCAACTGACATCCTAGAATGAAAACTGAAATTCAGGTGTTTTCTTATATAAGCCTTAACATTATCCATACACCTCCCTTACTTTAGAGCACACTACCAACTGCCCAATTATTTTACCCTTTGCTTTTCCAATACAGAGAATTTTAACATTGAAAATTGACAAAATGCTACAAATACACAATTTATGAACACAAATAGGGTTCCTGCACTGATCAAATAAAATTTTGGCCCCAGTGAAGACTTCAGCTTCAGTAGAGGCAGGCCTTATTCATCATACATGGCAAAAATAACTTCTAAAGACAGATGGCTTTGTTTGTGTACTCTTCATATTATGATTTCTGAGATTTTCTTGAACACATTCTGGTAGGGGCTTTGAATTTAGATTAGTTAAATCAAAATTCTTGTTTTTTCTGCAAGTGGCTGAGTCAAATCTTTCTAGATACAAATATGCACAATAATATCAAGATTTTAAGTTTCTTTATGGTAGTAGTGGTCTTCTGGTATCCAATTGCACTAATTTTAACTGGGGGTTTTGGACTTTGGTCTCCCTTTATTGAGCAGAATGAAGATCTGCAATGGTGATCAAAGGGCTTTATGAGGAAATAAGCTGTCATTTGGACAGAAGTATATTAAAGCTGACAATGCCAAAGCTGGTCTTCCCGAAGACAAGCTGAGTTCAGGTTACTTCACATCCATTATTAATTCTGGGACAAGGGTTTTTACCTACTTTTGGAAGAGATGTCAACATTTGCAGAATGTTTTCAGAAGGTCAGTATACTAGATCCCACAGGTATAAGTGTCAGACTTCAGTGGAGACATATACCATTTCCCACATCAAAAGCCAGGCATCTGACAGCTGACCAGAAATAATCCATAGGGGATCTCCTCTTTGCTAGTAAGGACAGAGGCACACCTTTTGGCAATGATTTGTTTCTTTTCAGAATGTAAATGATCCAGGGGAATCCTTTACCTCTGACCTATGTTAGATTTTGCTTGTTATCACCCTTACAGCAGCACTGATTCTCTTTAGGAAAAAAAAAGTGTTTTTTTTTAATACAAGATAAATACAAGAATAATGGGGTGAGGAAAAAGTGGTTCTCTTCCTCTTTTTGTTGTTACATCTATAAGTCAGGCAAAGAGATCAGACCAAAACCAGTTATCAGGGAGTGCTGATACATGCCCTATCATCTTAGCTCAGGGCAAACACTCAAATTGTGGGTTCAGTTGAATACTGAAGACTTAAGTACTTGAAGACCTAAACATAAGAAATAAAATATTAAGGGAAATAGAAAATGAAAAAGATTCATTTGCTCTAAGATCTTGATCAACTAACTTTTCACAATCTTGACAGTTTAAATGGTTCTGGTCTTTTATTACCAAAACTTTTAGGGTCCTTGAGTATTCCTTATTAAATGAAACCTATGCATTTTCCATGACTGAAAAGGTGGGAATTATACCTCTGTGCAGCCCATGAACAGAAGAGTAAAGGACAGAACAACAGCAAAAAACAAGTTCATGTGTTCACTTGATACATGTCCAAACTTATCCTAAGAAATAAAATATGTGATTGCTTTCTTACCTGGTGTTTAAAGTTTCAAATAACTATAACTCTGCTTTGCAGAGTTTGATTTTAAAGCTGTGCCAATTATGTAATGAAAAAATAACTTCAACTGTGAACAGAGTTTTAAGTTTTTAAGTTTTAAGACTGAACAAAGTATATTCTACCACTCTAGCAGAGTTCAAAAACCTTATGTAGTCACAGGAGTTCAATGTGAACTTTTAGCTAAGAAGATAGCTTTAAATTCACTATTTAAAAGTTACTCCATGACTGATCTTTTTTCCATTCTCTTGTCTATTAGCTACCCTTAAATTCCAGTTTATAAAAATGCTGTAAGTATATAAGGAAACTCCCTGGCTTTCTGTGACACTGAGATTTTTCAGCACTATTCTCCAAAATGGTTCCTCTAAGAATGGAAAAGAATCTAGATGCTGCAAACTGTAAAGTCTGATAAACCACACACATCCTCAGAAAACCCACTGCTTCTCTGGCTGCAACATGATCTCATTCGTCCTCAGGCATTTGCTGCTCTGAGTTACTGTGCTCCTGAAGAAGCCTGGTTGCTCTGGGAGTAGGAGTAAGGGAGACTGAGAAGCTGTTGGGGCTAAAGTAGGTTATGGATGTTCAAGGCAGAGAGAGGCCCCAGGACAGACTTAAATTTCCACTCTCTGCATAAGTGTGTCGCCTATACTGTAAGAATAAGAGCTAGATTCACGAGTTTTGTCTCTTCATCACAAAGAACTGTTTGAGAATGAAGGCATATTTCAAGTATGAGAGGGAATTATTCTCATTAGCATGTATTTTCACTGTAGTTCAACAGAAAAAAAAAAAGTTACTGAAACAAGCCACAAACCACAAACCAACTCCAATCTTTTTCCTTCCTTACCCCATCTATCTCTGGTAAGATGCAATGCATTCCTCGTCCTACGTGACTAGAAATATATGGTTATGTGCCTCAAGTTTAATTTTTCACACTGGGGAAAAAATGCTCATATATGCCACAGCACATGCCCCAAATGCTATGGTAGAATTTATATCAATAAGCATATTATCTAAGAAAAACATGTCAGTGGGGTTCTTTGCTTTGTGAGGAATGCATGAACTGATGGGTTTGTAGTACAAAGACTCAGTACTGTAGCAGTTAAAAAGTCTTTTTAGACAATTGAGGGAAGGTGAAATATTTTCAAAACCTGAGGCTACGAGATATACATATGCCATCTTGATTAAACATATGGAATGCATACTCAAAGAAAAGCCAACTGGAGTCCTAGTTGAGTAATCAAAACACCCAAGCTGAGAGGGGTTAACATGCAAGGATCAGCTCTGAACTTTGAAGTTTTCTGGTCTTCATTTTTCCTAATTAAGACAAGATTTAATAACCAAACCACTGTACAAACTATGTACTTAAACTCTAGGTTTGTTTCTAATTTTGTTGGGAATTCTTAGTAGATTCCAAAGAATCAGTAACCCCTGGGAAATTTACCCAGTAAGTAAGGTGGACTGATTTTTTTTTTTTTTTTTTTTTTTTTTTTTTTATTCCTTAGGTAAAAGAGCTGAACATCCACTTTTCATCTTTTTTTCTTTAACACTGCCTCTTATATATAGTTATTGAGTAACACTAAAACAAAAGAAGACAACTAAAGAGGCATAATTAGTATCTTTGTAAAACTAGTGGAGCTTCAGCAAACAACTTGTGGAAAGCTGTGTACTAAGTGCAGAAAACTGTTCTCCAAGTAAAAACATGCATTTGCTTGCGTATCTTGATTTCAGAGCAGGTAACAATCTGTTTTTGTTGTAGAAGTATTATTTCCTGATAAATCTGTTTAGAATCTATTGCTCTTTGTTGATAAATGGATGGTCCCTTTTCTTCTTTCCCCTGCCCCTGCTCAGAATAAGGTGTTACTGTACAGGGAATCTTGCACTACACAATTCAACTCTGTGTCAGATACCAGCAACAGGAGAGTTTTCACTTTCTCCTTATACAGTCATTTTATATCACCATATAGGTGACAAACTTTCTTGTTACTCACAGAGAAAAGTCAGTTTGATAAACACTGAATAAAAATTTCTCCAGATGTTTAGGAAGTTTCTTATATAAACACCTAAATTTAATAAGGTGATTTGAGTTCAAATGAGTTATCTATTTATGCAGCATTCTAGTCCACAATAATAAAAGTTTTTACACAATTCAGAAGCAGCAAGTGGAGCAATTGCTGCACCTCTGAAGTACACGTCAATTTTTAAGACACTATTTACCATTCAACAGGAAAACCCCTGTCAGGTAAAAATGTAAGTTGCTTTGAGCTCTATTTTGTTGAACTGTAGCCTATTTCAGAACCTTAAAATTAAGATCCATACAAATGTGTATATCTGCTATACATAAACAAAAAAGATACTCCTGCAAGAACCTCTCTATTGTCCGTGAGGACATGGCACCAATAACTAAATTTCACTGTTAGTTTTCCACCTTTAAATTTATTGGAAATTCTTTACTTTGGGAACTCACCTTATTCATGTGGATCTGCTGCTGGTACTGTTTCTGCTTCTCCAAAAATTGCTGATGTTGCTGCTGGATGACCAGCTGGGCCAAAGTACTCTGAGGAAGAGGAGCTGACTGGGTTCTGTTCAGTGGCCTGTGACGAGGCAGTTTGTGGGCAGCTCTTATGCCAGGTGAAACTCTCTCCTTTGCTGCTAAAGGAGACTGTGGATGAAGAGGAACCGCTCCTGCAAAACAGGGACATTTCACTCCCCTGTGGAAAACAACAAACTAATAGTTTAACAGGAAAGAAAGCTTTCAGTAAGAAGAGAGGTGTACATTGCAGAACTCTGCATCTGCACTGATGCAGTGGGACGTGTATCACGTGCCTCGCCATGCTGGGAAGTTCAGCTGCTGCAAAAGAATGTGATGAAGTAATCATATTCTTTTTTCTGTAATCATTGAATTCTTTCAGGCTAACAAACTGGAACAGAATCACTAAAAGGGAAAACAAAGATGCTCTCCTTCTTTCTTCCACCCTTCTACTTTTCCCAAGAGTTCAGATGTATGGTATTTGTTTTACCGCATTTAGTTTAAACCGAACACAAATGTCATTAAAAATATCTTAAATTACTATTGCCGGAGCTTTGATCATTACCAGTCACAAGAAGTTTTTGCTGTCTCATTTGTTCTTTCAGTAACAGATGTTGCAAGAGAGCTTGGTGGCTGCTGTTTGGCTTTCCCTCCAAAGCAATGTGAGGATGAGTTGATGATGGAGGAATGTTTCCTCCATACTGTCCAGCCAAGGCCACTCCTTGTCTCAGTGACGGGGTCTCCCCCTTCTGCTTTTCTTTGAATGACGACGAAGCCTGTCAAAGAACAACAGCATTGGTAACTGCTTTCCAGAGAAGTGGCCATTTATACCTCTGCCTGATTAGATGGTCTTATGTCTTCAGGAACACACACAGAAGGAAAGGTTAACATCCCTATCTTACACTTTGTGAGATGAAAAGGGAGGACATGCTGGTTAAATGTAATGCTGTGAGAAACTGAGTAATGAAACCAGTCGAAAAAAAATCAGCAATAAAAGCCAAAGCATAAGGAATTACTAGTTAGAACATTATTAATGAAAGGACGGGACCTATCCTTAAAATTCCTAAAGACCTTTGCACAGCCTCCTGCACAGGAAACTAGAGGATCAGAGGAAATAGTTTGCATTTAGTTTGGAATAGGCAAGGCTTGGTTTTTCACATAACTTTCCATCACACAGCAAGCCAATCAGCAAAACAAAGTAGTTACCTGTAGTAGTGGGAAGCTATTACTTTTCCTGGAGCACTCCCTGACTCCCTGAAGGACAGCACAAATGTAAGTTTTACCGTCCGCAAAGCAAACTTGTACAGTTAAACTCTCGTCTACAGAATCATCAAGAGCTGTTGTATGTGTGTGGCATTTTGAAGCGCCTTTTAAATTACACAGTTATTGATTTAAAGCTTTTGGAAGTTTTGGCCCTTCATCATTGCAAATGTACTTTATATTGCTTTGTTCTTTGCCTATTTAAAAAAAAAAATCTTGAAACGGCAGTTCAAGCAGAATAACAATTTTCACAGCAAGAATAATAACCTAGCAGAAATATGCTTGTTGAGGCTTGCAGATAACCACTTATGGTAAGTCATGGTAAAAACAGTATCTCTGATAATATGAATTACATAAATTCTAAAGTAAAGGTTTTCACCAATATTTTTTTGGTATATGCTTACTTCACACTGCTATCACCCTCCCCTGAAAAACAAACACCAAAGTAAGTTTTACATTCAATTTGCAACTGCTTATTCTAGTAACATAAATAAACATTACTTGCATAAATCAATCCCTTTGTTTTTTCTAGTGCCAAAAGTAATATTTGGTGCTAGCTGGCCACATCAAAAGCTTATAAGAATTTGAGTGAGCAAATTAAACATATTTTCATTTCTTTTTAATGTTATAAATTTACATTGAAGCTAGTTATATTTTTGTGAAATAGCTAAGAAATTTTTGATGATATCCTCTCAGAAGTAAGCACTACTTTTCATGATGTTCAATTTTTCCATCTTTTAAAAACAATAATTTTCTAAGACTTTTAGAGAATTGATTTCAGGCTTACACAATTTTCTTTGTGAATTTCTGTACCTGACGCTAAAATGTTAGATTGCAGCAATATATTATTGCTAAGAACAGTAAAAGTATTGAAAAAGCCGTAAAATAACAAGGAACATTGACTTGGAACTACATTTAGCACTGGAATTAAGCATTATTACAAACCATAGTGGATCACATAGATTTAATTTTTTTCACCTCCACTGAAACCAGTGGTTACAACCCCTAATTTCACCATAGAAGTTACCAGTTTCCACCATGTTGTATAGAACCACCATATAGCAGTATTTTTACTTTTTTTTTTTTTAACTGAGCTAGAGGAATACTACATTCTTCTTCTACAGTGCTTCAGCCCAGGTTAGGTCATTACTGAAATTTCATATAAAGTTACAAGTGCTGTAATTTATCAGGTAGAAGTATGATTATAATTTAAACTTTTATACTAAATAATCTCCTCATATTTTTATACTAAATCTCTTCATATACTTCTTGCCATATCTGAAATCTGTTATCTGGCATAAATGCAATGCATGTTGCCCATACTTAGCTAAGGTCTACACTGGTACTTGTTTATTTTAGATCAATGAATATTGCTTTCAAGTTGTGCCCTTAAATGTTGCCCAGTGCATAGAGAGGTCTGGTTCCTGGTTCCTACTCTGAATTTCTTGTGTTCCAAAATGCTAAAAACATAAAGAGAATAATCAGAAAGTAGATTTTCTGGAAGCAAGTGTATGCAGGAAGGCTTGAGACTGGTCACTTACACTGATTTGAGGTTGTATTGCTGGAAGTCCCAAGGTAATGTTGGGCAGAGAAGGGGATGTGTACAGACTCAACAAGTTCACTGATTCATCCTGTATCAAAAGGCGTTGCTGAGAAACCAGGTGCTGGAATAAAGGGGAAAACCAACCAAAGTAAATCTCCAAGCTTTTTATCTTGGTTATTTTATGCTTGTATCGCGATACACTGAAAGCCAATTATGTACCAGTCATTGGTTTGCATCCCAACAGAAAACTGTCCCTGTAAAAAAAGTTCTTTTCTTAAGAAAACAAATTATATGTATCAGGGATTATTCCTTGATTTGTAAATCAAATTTCAACGCAAATCTGAAATCCTGAGGATTCCTAGACCATCTTATCAACTTCTCACCAACTCAAAATCAGGTCTTCTCATCAACTGGACTTTCACTCCAAGAAACTCAGTGGGAATTTATCCAGTGAATTAAGGATTATATCCAGCTGAATCACGAATGGATGTATCAAACTTTTACCATGGTTTTTATGACTTTTTGTTGTAAGGAAAAAAATGTGGTTTTTAACTAGTCCATGTCTTTTGTCAGCCAGACATGGGGACGTTTTTGTTAGCCAGACATATGGGGATGTTTCAGGCACATTATTTACATTACATGGAAATTTTATGTAGAAAGTAAGACATTATTGACACATCTGCCATTTAAAATAACAGACTGTCTCTCTGTCTGCATATATACAGAACCAGCATCCTGCCATTCTCTGATGATGGGATACTCCTCACAGCTTTCCTAATCCATTCAAGTTAAAATTTTTAACACTTCTTTTGAAGACTTGTTATATAGTTTTCAGGGACATGGAACTGCTGATATATTTTTAATTACTTTAAAATAAAACCAGACATTCTACAAAGATCAGCCTTTTTATTTCCACAGATTAATTGAGAAGAAACATAAAAAGATTACCACATCAGGAATCTTTTTGAAGCCTTTGCCTTTTCGCTTCAACAGTGATATTTTTCAACATGTGGTCTAGTAACGTTTCTTGAATTATATTTTCTGTTTAACTCTTGCTTCCCCCCCAGAACTTTGACACAATAAGAGCTACAAAGGTCTTATTAGACTTAGGAACTCTGGCATGATATGGTCCCCAAGGGAACAACATCCTTGAAAAAGAATACCCTGTGTAACAGTATGACACAGTGACTGCTTTCTTCCCAAACAAAAAGCATATGGGACTCCAATAATAGACCACCTCCAAGAGGGATACTGCACACTCGGGCTTTGACTAAAGTAAATATAATAACTTGTCAAGCATGTTGTGGGGAGCTGTAGATTTTCCCCCGGACAAACCTGGAATATCAATTAACTCTGTAAAATACTTCGTGTTAATACAATGCAACTTCAGACCATCAATGAAAAGTGGTTAAGCACAAAAACACAGGATGTTATTCCAAAACATAACCTTCCTCATACAGTTTGTTTGGAGATACGACCTATCACTGAGACAATAACAGTAGAAGTCTATCCCTGTAATTTTCTTTTGGTACCTAGGGAATGTCAACAGATAGCGTAGGAAACAAAGAAGCTCCACTTGTATATTACATTAATTCCTGGCTAACAGTGTCTTGCCTTGATAACATCCACCTTTGACCATGAATAAATGCAAGTATGTCAAGACTATGGAGATACTATGGAGGGAATCTACAAATATTTGAGTAAAAAAGGACACTCTAATGTGCCTCCTAGAATAAAATCAAATTTGTAGCAATGGCAGCATTGATACAAAGCCACTTGAAAGATTTATGTTTAATATTTGGGTTTTGGTATCCCACTATTACCTTCTAAGATCTGAATAAATAAAAATAACAATGGCAGGGTGTATAGCAGTAAAACACACTACCTCACTAAGGACAGGCATGATTATTTCATCAGGTAGAAGCAATGATGTTATTTACCAGGAATTTAATATTGAAGACAGGAGTTAATCAGTAAAAGCCTCTTAATTTAATTTCTAATACTGCTAATAACCTGTCATTTTCATTCTGGCAGGTGATTGATTTTAAAAAATACTTTCAGGTAATATCCTAAGCATCAGTTTAACCTCATCTTCCAAAATAAATGCAGTAGTCCACCTGCATAGATTAGGGTCCTCTGCGTATCACAGAATCCCTGAATGGGTAAGGTTCAAAGGGACCACTGGATGTTATCTAATCCAAGCACCCTGCTCAAGCAGGGTCCCCCAGAGGCAGAAATTTGTGATCAGAGCTTTTCTTTCTACATGGTCAACAATTCCTTGCAATGGTGGCACATGCAGGAGTTGCCAAGAGAGTAATTTGGCAGCACAATGACTAATCCATGTCTGTGTCCTGCATGCAGACATGGTGGTTTGGATTGGCACTTCAATTTCCCCAAAGAGTAACTTGCCCTACTTGCTCCTCTACGTACCTACTCATTGGGTCCACAGATCCTGCTTACTGATGCTTAAAATAGCCCATCAACAGAGTTCTCCTCTTTCTTAAAATAGAGTACAAGAACTCAGTGTAACAGTGCACGATGATCAACAAGTGACCATCAACAACCCTGCCTGGGCTGTGCTGTGGGACCTGCTGAGAGCAGGAACACCTACGTGTGCATGTTTATATGTACATTTATAGATTACAAGGGGAAGACAAAATGGTTTGGCTTTAATGCTCGTCAGTTGTGGAGCTAATTGCCACAACTTACAATATTCACAATTACTTACACTTGTATTTCTTGAGGCTTTTGGGATGATTCTTGAAAAAATTAATTTAGACTCTCTTTACATGCACTTGACACAAACCTCATGAGCTGGTCAGAAATCTACACTTTTTTCCACTGGCTCCCTACAAAAATCACTTCAAGGAGCTTAGTATTAAAAGCATGGGGCTGTGAAGTTGTACAGAATAAATATGTGTTTATCTGTCACATATATGATTTATATCTCCTGTATAATCAAGTGATATTCTAGGAAATACTGTTTTCCAAAGCACAAATAGAAGAAAGAAATTGATCTGAAGCCCAGTTGCACCAACTGGAAACTTTCCATTGCCTTCAATGGCTTTTGACCAGACCGTGAATGCCTAAAATTAATCATTTCACATGACTAAAGCAGGTTGTCCCTCTGAACTCAAGGGACATGCTGTGCAGGGGCTCAATCCTGCTTGCATTTCTCAGGCAAGTAAGATTTAGCCCCAGCACAGCAGGTGACCTGAAAGTGTATGGCATACTACAGGAGACAAATAGCTACTGCGGTGAACCTTGATGATACTGGAGACAACTGCGCCTAATAAAAACAGGATTTTATTTATAAGGTGCAATTAAAATCCTGAGTTCAACTTTCAAGTTTCATATAATGAGACCAGTGTTTTAACAAATGGTAGTGAAAGTACCATTAAGGGAACTGTGATAGTAAAAGATTATCTGGAAAGCTGCAGCATGTGCAGTTCACCTTTGTTCATTCAAAAAATTGCAAACGTCTACCCACCAGACTGTCTGCTCCAGAGAGTAAACCACTCAAAATCTCACTATTCCAATGGATGTGGTAAAAATACTTTAAAAATCTGTTTCATTACTGATAATGCTCTAATTCTGTCCATGCACTGGAGTGTAATCATTTACGGTACTGACTCATGTTTTACTGGTAAATTACTCTGTCATAGCAACCTGTTTTTCCCCAGCAAAAAGTGTTTTATTTGCTGCCATGAAAACCACGGCTATCCACCCACTCAGATATGAGCATAACACTTACTGCAAATGTCACAACAACGATTATGAAACAACAGCAATGTGAGTCATACAGAATTACAGAAAAACAAGTGATATTTTGGGTGATTTTGGAACACTCATCCTGTTTTAGAAACTTCTGTACTTTGTGAATCTGATTAAAAACTGATTAGTTGTATAGTTTTTGAGATCTGGCTAATACTGAACTAGGAAAGAGATATGTAGGAGTTTGGCTGCTGTTAAACTACCAAAGAAAATCGCACTGAAATAAGAGTCAACGAAGCTGAGATTTATGGAAAAATGTTTGAACCCACAGGAACACAGTACTGAGAGTCAAGTAACCAGAGAGGTAAAGAAATCCCCAACTGGATCCAGAAGCGGAAGTCTGTAGATTCAGCTTCTTAGCAGATTTCACCAAGTGAAGTGACCAATGCCAGCAATGCAGAGCTCAGCTTCCAAAGGGAAGTTTTAGGCTCCTTTGAGCATCTTTGATTGTATGTTGGGGTTATCATTTTTGATGTCTGACACAGAAGCGGCAAATATGCAATGCAATGTTCTACTAGCTAACAGAATTTAACTGCTGGTTCTTGCTTCAACCTTTCCAAATATCCCCAGAGACCACCAGCCTGACCAGCCTGTATTTCTGATGGTACAAGTGTCCAGAAACTGTAATATGCAAAGTCATGAGCACCATGTATCAGTCTGAGACATAAATGCCCTTCCATTTTGTAGAATCCTCAAGTCAATAAAAGATCCAATTGGATAAAATTTCCTGTTTAATACAGCACATAATAACACCCACATATTACCAACTTCTATCTAAAACATTCCCAGTAATAAAATACACAACTTAATTCCACTGAACTAGGATCTGATCTAATCCTAATGATGGATCTTACTCTGCATCATTTAAATTTCTTTGCAATCACATATGGGGGGCTATGAGACAAGACCACATGTTAGCCATCAATGCAATTTTTTTTTCTTTTTGGTTACGGGCCAGAGAGAGGCTACTAATCAGTGTGCAGAGGTCACCCACCTGCCCCCTGGATCATAGTTCACACACACAATTAATTCATTATGGGGAAAAGTCACTGCTGGAGGTTGAACTGCCCATTCCAGGGGTTTTTTTTTTTAGGTGAATGTCCTGCCACTGACCTGGAGAAATAGCTCCATTAACTAAAACTCTGTTAATTCACATTTTCTTATGAAATTTTTCTAAAATAAAATTCATAAAACAACAATTAACAGGAAACCTTGCCACCAATGCAGGAAATGCAGTAAGTATAGACTAGAATATTGTGGAATTTGAGCTTCTCTTAGTCAAATTAGTTTACTGTCCCTTTACAATATTGCCATGGAAAGCATGACTTGGGCATGTCATCTGTGCTAAATGAGGTTTATCACAACTGATTTACCATCTGCATTCCTGCTGTTATAGGCACGTATGTATGAAACAGAATAAGGAGTAGTTCAGATTCCTTCCGTTTACAATCTCACTTTACAAAACAACTATTCAAGAATTCTGGCATGACATTTACGGCCTTAAGCACTGCCCTGATAAGGAAACAGATACAGTAAAATAAAAGGGAGATGTGACAAGGATTTAGTCACCTAACTTCAGTACTATGATTAAAGAAATCTACTTCAGCATCCCAGTACCTGGGACCACCTTAGCTCTCATATGTTAGGATCACCAATGCTGACACCACTGTTTTGTACGCAGGAATTCTTTATCAGCATTCAACACTGAGCACTTCCTTCAGGTCACCCCAGAAGGAAATATTCTATAACCAAGTTCCTTCCACAGCTCCCTCCACTCTTCCAGTAGCACTACTGCTGTTTTTCCCTTAAATTTTGTAACCACAGAATCTTCTGAGCATGTATCTCATACATAAAGATATATCACATATATAACATACTGTGATGTCAGCCTGTAGCGTCCTGGTATCCCAATTAGTCTGCTTGTAAGTATGATCAAATCAAATTTCCCATCCTATTCAGTCTACAAACCTGAGCAATTACATACACAATAATGAGTCTTACCTCAGCTTGAATATTAGATGGCAAAACGGAGGTTTCATTTTCTGTTGTACTGCTGGTCGGACCATTGCTTGGGGAACTGGGACCGGATCCAGGGGAGCTGCTACTGACTGAGGATTCTGAAAAACAGATTAAACATACATGAATTTCACTCTGGAAGGCAATTAATAATCCTGATTATTTATAGAATCTTTATAACATGAGGTTTTTTTGCTGTTGAAAAATATCTGTTGGTTACACTATTTACTTACATTAAAAACTCTTGATTCATCTTCCATTTCTTTGGTTTTCTTTCAACAACTAACAAGGAAAGATACTCTTGATCTTTCCCCTTCTGATCTGTCTGTGCCACGTAAGAAGAATTTAGTATTTATTTTTCTCAGAAAGATAGTTATGATACTCAGTATCAGGCAGAGACAGAGTTTGTAATGAGTAAAGAAAAGAAACTCTTTCCTTTTTAATTGTACAGAGCCCTGGCTCTGGAAGAGATGAGGCCTACTGCCACTCCTTCTACGAAGGGGATGAGTCCATCGTGGACAAATCATTACATACACAAGTACTAATGGCAAAATATACACCTTCACTACATGTTTGGCACAAATATGAAGGAGTATTTACAGTATGTAAATATTAAGTATTAAAATAGGATTCGAAAGCTGCGTGCTATCTTGATTTAAAATGTCACAAGTTCTGTTTAAGAAAGGGGGAGGGGATGACCTCATTGTATGTCGTTGTATTGAATTATTCTAATTATACACTGATACAAATTATATTTATGGGATGGAAACAGTTAAGAAGGTTAAAGAAGGAAGAGAAAGCCACTAACGGAGGTAACCCTCTTTCAAGGAATAGCTTTCAAATTAAAGCACTCAAATTAATTAATATCTAAATGTGGCACCTAATATTCTATAGCTATTTCTCTACTTATCCAGTCTTTATGCTTTAGTTCATATGCAAAAATATGTTTTCACTTTGACTGAAATCACAGGAGGCTTCCCTAGCTGTTACTTGGATCTCTCACTCTTAGATTTACTGAACTGACTCCATACCCAGCTATACAAACTGGCCATGTAGAAGTTCTTGCATTGTATCTTCAATAGGTATCAGAGAAGTGGAGACACACAAACTTAATAATTTTTTTTTCTCATTTTTTAAAAATTAAAATAGCACCCTTTTGTACAAATAGGCATTTAAATAAAGAGATATTTTCAATTTAGAGAATAAAAAGCAAGGGGAAAAAGACTTCAGGCAACAATGTTTAACCAGGGTTATGAAAGGTCTAAACTGTCATATAGTCAATACTAATAATTATAACAGCAATCTGAAAGGCTCCAAGTTATTGTCAGAGCCAGGAAAAGAAGACAGCTATTTTCATGTTTCAGTGAATCAGGAAAAAACCTCCAGTGATAAAAATTTTACTTTATAAACTTCTTTTAAGTATGCAAACTGAAAAGAAATCAGCTAGAACTAAGGAAGTGGATATTAAAGTCTCATAGAGGCTTCAGCAAACAGAATTTACAAGTTAGCTGTAGAAAAATTATAATCTGGAAATAATTTGTAAGGACTACTTATATATTATAAAACAACTACTTTGCTTAGCAACTTTCATGCTTACATTCACATTTCTGTTCCACTTGAACACATGACATCCTGTGTAAAGCTGTCACAAGAACTGCACACACAGCGACATCAATGTGTTTGTTCAAGCTGTATTTTAATTCCATCTTGGTGTGACATAATTCTGGTGTATCAAGTGGATTCAGATATATGTTGGATAGACTAGTAACAATTGATTGCATAAAGGTATGGCCCAATCACCTGAAAAAGCCACTAATCTACTAAATATCAATGCAAAATCGAAGCAAGAACTGTCAGGATGAGGCCAAATACTGCAAATGCTCATTTTGTTTAGTAAACAGTTTCAATTCTGAAGTACCACCACTATTCTGTGAGCTGTGGCAACAGAATTTCCCCATTCTTCATTACCTGTCACCTCAAAAAGACGCTTCTTGAATGAACTGACATTTCCATCCTTCCTCCTGAGTAAAGGACTGCTTCTTCTTTCTGTCACCTTTTGTTTTAATCTTGAACGTACCTTCAAATTGGGCTCTGAAGCTGGAAATGGAGAGAAGAAAATTTGTGACTACAAATCCAATTCCTGGCTTGTGTCAGACACTGACACTGTAGCACCTCATCTGATCCAAGGAGGGCATGGAGGCAGAGATTTTACTGCCCAACCTTCCCAGTCATCCTGTTGCTCCTCATACAACTTCATTTTAGATTGGAAGCTAGGAAAGAGTTGAAGAAAGCTGAAATACTTTGGATCCCAGTATTTTTTTCATTCCCTTGCAACTTTGAAGTTACCCATTAATTATTGTTACTACCGTAAGTATTAATAATAAATGAATGCAAATTAAATTTATATTACTTTTATCTCTCTTGTAGGTGGAAACTTGGAAAACACGTCTTGGAAGCTGGAACACTAAATGGATTAAGGTCTAATTGAAGAAACAGAGATTAGCCTCCACTGGTGCCTTTTGATTTCTCTGAGAAATATAAATTACGACAAGCCTTGCTGGCAGAACATTTCTTGGTCAGTGATTTTAGGTCCAGAACTTTAATGTTTTCTGAGTAACACACCGAACAACTAGATTTATGACAGTGTCCTAAGAACATTTACAGAGAAAAATATATGCTCTGAAAATGAAGAAGTAGGGTTGATTCCCAGAAAACCTAGGATTATATATAATGCACCTTGGGCAAGTTCCACCTTTGTTTCCTTAATAGACACAGTCTTTTCACATGAAGGTCAGCTCTGCTGTGCTTTATATTTTGTAGTATTTTTAGCATGATAAAATATTTCATGTAGTAATTTATTTGTTCTTCAAGTAAACCCTGTATCAAACAGACTGCTAAGAGCTAGTGAAAGATAATTGTGGAGTAGAATTTGTTTATATTTCCCTTCCTGGAACTGAGGATTGGCTAAGCAATATCTCAAAATAGAGAGAGCTAGAAACTGGGATCAGTTCTCTTTCCTATGCACAGACTTAAACCCAGCCACAAAGAAGGAGCAAGAGTTAGCAGAAAACCAAAATACATGGTATCTTCACTCAATTCAGAAATACACCGTTTGTCACTTTGGGGCAGGAACTCAATCCTGCATTTTGAATTCTAGTCTCTGCCCATCATGTCACATTGCACATCATTTTTCCTTGTGTCCCACCTGTTCCCTCAGGGAAGGGGAGGCTAGAAATGGTCGCTGGAGGGCAAAGGGGCTGCTCCTCACTGCAGCGCTGCTGTGACCAGCAGTACCTGTTGTCACAGGCTGACTTTTGTCATGTACCACACTGCATGTGGCCAGGGCTGCCCTCTGAAGACCCTGTGCCTTACATACATTTCAGACCAAGATACACAGGCTAGCACAACACTGGAAATCTTTAATAATAAACATATTAACTAGAAATTTATTTTTATCACCTGCTACCAACCACTGTTAAGATGAATGGTTCTAACAATACAGTACAGATGACTTGTTTACTATCTGAGATATCATTTGCAATGAAACTGAAAATATAATAGTGGGCTCTGATTACACTACATGCTATCACCACAGATCTTACCAGGTGTGATGACATTTAAAAGAAAAGGTTCTCACTCCTTTTGCACTTACATATATTTCCATTTCTACTATTCTGTACTCTTTAAAATTAAAATTAATATTCTGTCTGTGCATCCATGACAGATGAACATGATACAAATCCTCTGCAACACTTACTGGAGAAATTCTCCACTTCTGTGTAAATGTTTCATGCTCAATCACAGCAATTCCCTTTCTATTTCTACCAAATTCCCATAATTTTCTGCATCTGACTCCATCATATAAGCACAGAAAATAAAGTCAATGTATGAAATTATGAGCCATCCAAGAAGATGCATGAAAAAAAGCAACAAAAATGGAAATAAATATTGAATATGAAATGGCATAGAGAAATTGGTTTTAAAATTATAAAATAAACCTCACAATACAAATCAAAGCCAATGTTTGAAGAGTGTTTCTTTCAAATTCTGGCTTCCCTGAATTTTCTTCCTGAGACACTGCCAGATCCTAACATGGTACTTACCAGGACTCAATGACTAGCAAAAAGAATTCTGGTTTCAGTCAATGAAACATAGAGATCTAAACAATATGAAGGTGTCTGGTCCAATGAAAAAAATGCAGAACCCAACAATGGTTTCTTGATTCCCAGCAGTGGCTGAGGCACTGGCTTGGTGTGTGACTGTAGAGGTCACTGAACAATCCTGCTCCTCCAAGGCTGGGGCAGAATTACTGTTCACTGCAAGAGGTATGGATCACAACAGCACCCCTATGTGCTTCAGTGCACTCCTACATGAGGGCAGTAATAAGACATCTATAATTATCTACACTCTTCTGACAGTTAAAAAGGCAAAATTAAGTATTTTAAACTTCAAATATGGAACTGTGGACTGCAATTATAAACATATATACACATACATACACACTGCCTCGAAGTATATATGTAAGATCATATAGAACCACTTTTAGTCCTTTAAACTCTGAAATGTGAGTATTAGCAAAAAGTGAAAATAAATTCTTCAAACCTTTTTTTTTTTTTTTTAATTAGACTGTTTCCCTAGTATCTGCAAGACACTCGGAAAGTCTTAGCAAATGGCCCAGAATTATTATAATTAATTTGCCTTATGTTTCAAATGAGTATTTGGCTCAATACTTTAACTAGTGGCTTTTAGAAGTGGTTCTACAGAGGGGTAATGTTCAAAATAACTGTTTTGCATTAGCCACCCTGTAAGTATTTTTACTGCACATTATTTGCTCCTTTGCTCAGCTTAATTAGTTCATTGCCATGGCTGACTGTGTTCATCACACAAAGGCATTCTCCATGGGAAAAACTGTCACATGGGGAGTCAATGCCAAATAACTTTTGAGGCTAAAGATTTACTCCCCAAATTGCTGCAGAGTAGCTTTCTTAAGCAAATACAAGCCCCTAAGAAGTAACATTTTTTCTACAGTAATATCAGAACATCAAAAAGATCATCATGGAATCTATATGGTGATTCAACCATAAACCAAGATACAGACACAGCAAGAAAACTAATGCATGTGGTTAACTTTCTATACACTAACCATCCCACTGGAGTCCAGAACTCAAAACTAAATTCTACCCCATACAGAAGACATCCTGTACCTTGCCCTCCTGAGGAAAAGAAGCCTCTCTAAATGCTGGAGGTGTGGAATGGTGTGGGTTTTGCTGGGTTTGATGACTCCAACTACAGTGGACTGAATCTTGGAGCCCAAATGCCACAGACAAGAGAAAAACAAGAGCACGTGGCCAGGAATGCCACCATGAGGACAAGGAACACAGGATGGCAAATTTTCATGGCAGAAATCTGGTTGGTTGGGCTGTGAATCAAAAATCTTAGTAAGAAACAGTATACAGCTACTATCAGTTTAGCTGGTCTCTGTTTAGCTAACCTCTTTGCTCCACAAATCTTTGCACTTCTATTATATTTAGCACTTTGGAACAAGTAATAGTCAATTGCCACTTGGAGAAAGTGAACATGTATTATTTGAAAGAGTTTTGTTGCAAAGAAAACAAGAAGACACAGCTATTTTCTCTGAAGGCCACCAAAGCCCATGTCAGTGTTCTCAACAGGAATCAGCTGATTTGAGTGATCCACTTCAGAGGATTTCAGGAAAGACTAGTCTGAAAATGACTTTGTTCACGTAGATGTAGCATAATTTGTAACAATGAGACGCTGCAGTAATATGGCTTGTTCAGTTGTATTGCTATTACATGGCTTATTCCCTTTTTAGTGCTGGTAATTATGGACTCGTATTACTCTTTAAATGATTCTAAGTGGGAAATAGATATCAAAGACAGAAAGGATTAGTTTAAATAAGAGCAGAAGGTATCACAGGCAATCAAAGGATTGGTTACCTAACATTTTGCCATGACTTGTAATTGTGTCTACAGATCTAAGAACTTTGGCTGTAGGTTAAGGAGAAAAACAGTGTTTAAATTAATTTTCTCATACTTTATGGTGGCTTCATGAAGGAAAAAAAAATAAAGGAACTGTACTGTCAAAAATGGAAAATATACAGGCATCTATGTAGGTACACATTCATTTCATCACATGAGCTACCATTGATCAGGTGAAAAAAAGGTAGTCTCTCCTAAGGAACATGGTGCTCAAATACAAGCACAAGAGATAGGAAAATGATTTAGTGAAGTCATTACATCCTGTACTCCACTTTGCTTAATATTAGCAATTAGCAGATACTAGCATACAAGAATATAGCTTGGGGCCAGATTGCTCCCAAATGAGCTGAGGTTTTCTTGCCAGGGCTTTGCCTCACTGTTTCTTTTTATTAAACATACAGAGATATTTAAGAAGAAGGAATGAAAATCCTTTTTACGCATGGGGAGAAGACATATATGAAGAGAATGTAAAAGACAATAATGCACTACTTTCTGATGGTTCCTGGAACACAGTAGTACTTTTGTATCAGAAGAGTGTGTGCCAACTTCAAATCAGCATTTAATGAAGCCAGGCAGGAAATGGGGGATGGTAGAGGGTGCATAGCAAGCAGGTCCTCATCTTGAGGCTAAAACCATATATAGGAAGCCTAAAGAACAGAAAGTGAGCTTTTGTCCAGATTCCAAAAGGCTCTAAAGTGAAAGCATTTCCTTTTCCTCACAAGCAGGCTGGCTTAGAAAAGCTGTGGGGCAGTCGAGGTAAATGATGCTGAATTTGGCTAAAAAGATTCCAACACCAACATGAGCAACAGTGGCAAAACTGACATCCTACTCAAGAAAGATAAACTGTTCGCCACTGCCCAGGCATCAACTGTTACCACTAAGATCCTTTTTAAAACAGCAACCTGAACTTCCCTAACATAATTAGGTCACCAGAAACAATTAAAAACCAAAGATTTCAAGATCTTAAAGCACATCTTCACAGGTATTCCCTGTTTCTTTAGCTATAGTTTTTTTTTAAATCATGAAGAGTCATATGTGATACTGATTTGAATATATTCTGCACCATACTGCATGCAGGAGTTTGATTTTTTTTTTCTG